ACATAACGCAGCTAACGGAAAATTATCAGCAATCGACCTATCTATAGCAAGCTCAAACATTGCCCCAAGTATCGAATGGAAGACCCTCCCTACCTATAATGGAAGCGACCACTGGCCAATACAGTTACAACTTTTTCACCAATCGTCAAAAACAGATCCCATAAATAAATGGAAACTCAAATCACCAAACTGGGAACTATTCTCCAGCCTTGTTGACCAGTACATCACAGAAAACCAATTAGAAGTTCCAATTGAACACATACTACCCATAAACCAAACCCACATTGATGAACTGATCAACAAATTATCAATGCTAATAATAAAGGCAGCTAATATAGCAATCGGAAAATCTAGTCGCCCTCTTAACAAAAGAACAGTACCATGGTGGAACGAAGACTGTAAAACCGCAATCACAAAATATAAAAAAGCTCTCAACCGCTTCAAAAAAACCCACTTACAAACAGATCACATACTACTTAAAAAATACAAAGCTGAATCCAGATACATCGCAAAAAAAAGTAAACTTGAATGCTGGCAGAAATATACATCTACAATCAATATCAGAACCCACCCATAAGCAGTCTGGAACAAAATTCGTGCTCTCAAAGGATGTAAACACCAACCTATTCCTAACCATATGCACCTCAACCTAAATAATCTACATTCAACCTCCGAAATCGCCCATGCCTTTGCTGAGACATTCAAATCAAACAATAGCAATGCAAATTACAAGGAGAACTTCCTAATTTTCAAAAACGAAACTGAAAATAATATCACATTTAACACCTATTCTCAACCTGACAATTCGGAATACAATCACCCATTCAATATAAAAGAACTCTACCTCGCACTTCACAAATGTAACAGCAAAAGTCCTGGTCCCGACGATATTCCTTTCATCTTCTTGAAAAACTTATCGGATAATGCTATCAACACTCTCCTCGCAATTTACAACTTAATCTGGAACAATGGAATTTTCCCCAACCAATGGAGACAGGCACACGTAATCCCTATACTAAAACCAGACAAAGATAAATTCAATATACTTAGCAACCGTCCAATTTCGCTTATCAGTACCCTAACTAAATTACTTGAAAAAATGATAAACAAGCGCTTAGTGTGGTTTCTCGAAACGAATAAAAAACTCATAAAACAACAATGTGGCTTCCGCAAAAACCATTCAACCCACGATGTCTTAGCTACACTCCACACAGATATAACTGAATCAATAATTAAAAATCAACACCTTATACTAATTGCCCTTGATATAGAAAAGGCCTATGACATGGTATGGAGGAAAAAAGTACTATCCTCCCTCCAAAAATGGAATATCACAGGAAATATGCTAACCTTTATTCACAATTTCCTTCGAGATCGAAAAATTCAGGTAAAACTAGGCAATACACTTTCTGAACATCTAGATATTGAGAACGGACTACCGCAAGGATCGTCAATAAGTGTCACACTTCCTCGCTGCCATCAATGACATATTTAATAACATTAAGCCTCCCATAAAATACACACTATTCGCCGACGATTGCAACATATATTGCAGAGGAGACAATATCAAAACCACTGTAGCACTTCTCCAAAATGCACTAAAAGCCCTATCTGACTGGTCCTCCATCACAGGTTAGGTTAGGTTAGGTTAGGTAACCTTCAAGTTCTCATCAGCCAAAACTCATGGCATAATTTTCAATAACAAAAAAAAAAACGAAACAATCCATCATGTATACCTAAACAACACAAAAATTGAATACACTGAAAGCATCCGTATACTCGGGATGATATTTGACAACAAATTTACATGGGTCCCCCACCTCAAAAATCTTAAAAATGAATGCAAGATTAGAATGAAAGTCATCAAAACGCTGTCCCACCACACATGGGGTTCCGAAAAAAACACTCTTATCACCATATACAAATCACTTATTTTATCCAAAATTGACTATGGCTCTTTAATTTACAACTCAGCCAATCACAACATCTTACGTACAATTGACCCAGTTCACAATGAAGGAATAAGACTTTCAATAGGAGCTTTCCGCACTAGCCCTGTTTCCAGCATTCTTTGCATCGCAGGCGAACCACCTCTCCAGATCCGAAGAAACAAAGAAATTCTAAAATACGTGGCAAAAAAAAAAACCTTGAATACCACATGGCATCTCAAATATTCACTTCCACTCCTAGCCTCAGAACTCCAATGAAATGTGAAAAAATCAGTGACACACACACCAAACTGTGTAATAATTCAAAATGCCTCATTAACACTGACACCTTCTTTCCTTTTACGTCAACTCCCTACTGGCAATGGTCCCCTAAAATAAATACGCAGCTCCTCCATCTCAAAAAGGACAGCACCGCTCACACAACTATAATAGCAAACTTTAATGACATTTTACACACCGAATTTCAAGATTTCAATCATATTTATACCGATGCCTCCAAAACCTCTATCGGAGTAGGGTTCGCTTACTTTACAAGCCAATCCTCAAAACGATTTAAGCTCCTTCCTGAAGCCAGCATATTCACAGCGGAAACCCAAGCTATCAAAGAAGCCATAATATTCGGAAAGTCGTCAGTATCAAATAAAATCTTAATAATCAGCGACTCCCTAAGCGCCCTTCTAGCAATCGAATCACCGAACCCCTCTAATGAGATAATCTGTCAAATACATAACATCATCACATCGACCTATAAAGTAATTGAATTCATGTGGGTTCCCTCACATACGGGCATTCCTGGAAACGAAAAAGTAGATATACTAGCAAACGAGGCAATCACCTCGTCCTCATCCTCAACCATTACCACCCTCCCATACCAAGACGTCAAAAGATGTATTAATATACATACTTCCAATATGTGGCAAACATCCTGGGACGAAATACCAATCACTAATAAACTTAAATCGATTAAAAAGAAAATCACTAAATGGCACACTCAGCCTAATGCTTCCAGACGATCCGAAATCATCAATACCAGAACAAGAATCGGCCATACCAATCTCACCCACATTCACATCATAAAACATGAAGAACAACCTCTCTGTAGTCAATGTAACGAACCGCTATCAATCAAACATATAGTCTTAGACTGCCCGCTATAAGTCAACGCAAGAAACATCCTCAACAAACCATCAACGATGGAAGAAGCTCTAGGAGAACACAACACGCACCTGATACATACCTTCTTCAAATCCATCGGCATTGACACAAAAATTTAATACAAAGATTAATTTAGAATTTAGAATTCTGTAATTTAGTTATTAATTTTCTTATTTGTATATTCTCTAATCAATGATAATGTAACCACATCCACAGGCTAATGACCTAGCTGTTGAAGCCTTTAATACTAATAAAAAAAAAAAATAATAATATAGTATAGGCTTTGAGTACCATAACTGGTACTCCCTCGGAATCAGTGTATTTTTCTTTAAATAAACGTACAAATGTATCAATAAGCGTTTAAATATAAGAAATTTATGAGAAATATGAAAAACATCGAAGGTTATGATGTAATCTGTAGAAAAATACAACGTCGTATGTGACGAAACCAGAGAGTACCAGTATTGGTACTCATGGCGTGAGATTACAACCCTATAAAAATACTTTGGCAGTCAACGTGTTAAAAATTTAAACCTTCTTTTTGTCAAATTATCTATACAAATTAATACCTTTTCTTAATTTGGACCAATCCTAACTTGATCATAAAAAATTCTGCTTTCTTCTTCTGCTTCTATAAGTTTTCTTTCAATCAATCATTTTGTATTGGATATAATTCCTGAATGATTGTTATAACTTATAACATTAGTAAGTTGAGTAAGATTCAGTAAGATGGTCAATATTTATTTTATCACCTTCATCTTATTCCTCTAGGTCAGATATATCTGCTTGTAATAGCTCCACCATTTTATCATCACCTAGTTTTTCTCTATGGTACTAGTTTTAAGGCGAAATTTAAAAAAAATGTATATTTGCAACAAAATATTTATAAGTTCAAAAATAATCATCAGAAATTTAAGACATTATTCAAAAAAATTAAAGCTGTTCGTTTATCCCCAATAACAATTATAGAAATTAGGCATCATAGTGTTTATGATAATATAATGTAAATACTTCAAAAGTTAGATCTAAAATAATACTTTAATCAGAAATATGAAGTAATTTTTAACATGATAATAATTTTTTCAAATTGATTAAGTTAAAAAACCTTCAAGTACAGTAGTATCAAGTATAGTATTATGAAATATTTAATATTTTGTTTTAAAACATTTTTTAAGCTTCGGCAACTAAGGCCATAGGCTTTAGGTTGTGATAATGTATGGTTTTTGGGACTATGGGGTTTCTGGAACACGTGTGTATTTGTTTGGCAGATTGTCTAATGGGCACCTGTAGATTTCTGCCATGCCCCGGTAGGGGATGGCGTCCTCTCTCTCCAGACACCGTGGCTCCCAACCTATCAGCTAAGATCAAAGTGTACTTAAGAGTTTTAGAATAAAATAGAGAGGTATCTCTAAGAGAGATAAATTTATTTTTTACGCAATATTGTAAATACTAAATTTAAATAAAATAATAAAACACAATATGTGTCCATACTTGAGTATTAATAAATAAATAAATATTTATTTAATTTAAAAAAAAATTGTTTACATTTAATTATACTATAAAAAAAAAAAAATCAAATAAGGTTATAACCAATGTTATTGTCCAATCCCTTAGCCATCGTTTAGGATGATAGGTACTGGCTGTATTTTTTGTACTCTTTTTCCAACCTATACTAGAATGCCAAATTATTATGTATAAGTTATTAAAATAATCACAACGATGTTCATGGTGCCATAATAATATGTTTTACGTTAATACAAATGCTATTTTGACTATGCAATCATTAAATTTAATAAATTAACTATTGGTTTTGAGTGGCGAGTGCATACCTATTATTACGTTACATTACCAAAAGATTAACGGATTATATAATGTTATATTATGTTATTCTTTCAGTCCAAACCAAAAATCAATCCTACCCATGCGGTTAGCATCGGATGCGTTGAGGTATCGTTCAAATGTCATGCAGCCGCAATTATTGTGATTACCACTTCCGGGCTGTCAGCTCAGTTCATTGCGAGGTACCGGCCAAGATGTCCCGTATTAGCGATCATCAGGCATGGAAAGTCCGCTAGAAAGCTATCAGTATGGCGTAATGTCATTGCTTTGCAGTACATTGGTAAATATTTACAACAATAATAATAATAATACGTTTATACTATGTGTCAAGTCCAGGGCTTGCATTTGAAAAAAAAAACTTTGTTTTACGTTATTTACAATCAAAACGTTATACAAATTTTGCGTTTATCGTTATTTAAAATTTAAAAGCATTTAGATACCTGTTTTAAAAGTACACAGGCCGCAATTTAAAAGTATATGACTATGACCTTTTTTGGGGGACATAATTTCCCTATTCTGAGTTTTAAGTAGGTATTGTATAATTTTATTTATTTAATTAAATAGGTTAGATAATCCAATTACATATTATTTACAAAATATAGAGCACAGTAGTGATACAGATTAAATTACAATACATAGTTCGTAAAGAAATGGAAATAGAATAAATGATATTTCAGTATGATAATAATTAATCTTAAGAGTAATAAATAATAATGTATTATTGAATTTAATAAATTACCTAGGCTCTAAGAACTTCATAATAAAATGATACATATAAAAAAAAAATCATGATGGTTATTTTTAAATTTTGAATGTATTATTCATTAGGTTTTTGAATGTTAAAATTATTTAATAAGTTTTACAATATTATGCGTGAGAATATCATTTAAGCAGGAATTTATAAATATGATAATATAAATATAAATATTAAACATTTGACAACAATTAGACAAACACTGACGAGTGACGACTGAACAAATCTGAGAAAACTGAACACCGAACACAATAGTTGAATAACTTGAATGGTATACATTTCGACCGTAGTACAGATAGTACAGTACAATATTATCAGAGTATCACTATTATCACGGAATAAACAGAAAGGAATCTTAAGGCTCATCGAAAAACCGTCCGACATTTCTGAATTTTAAACGTGCTGCCACATACCGAGAAATTCCCTGTTTTTAAGTTTTCTGTGGTTTGTGAATACACTGTCAGTCGGCAATTCCACTCATAACAACAACAATACATGGCCAACATGTCTGTCGATTTTCGTACTCCATCACGGTTACGTCTCGAATTTTTTCCACTCCTAAGTCTAAAAGTGTTTAATGTTTGCTGTTATATTTGCAGTAATCTACATTCTACAGTCCGTGGTGTCGGTCGGTTGTGCGTTTCGTTATCGGGTCGTCTTATCGTTTTTATACTTCTACAGTCCGAATAAAATAGTAATAACCTATAACAGTCATTATGCCGCCTACGTCACCAATCACTCCTTAAGATGATAAATTTAGCCAACTTATTGTTATGATTAATGAGTTAAAAAATTTTATCAACTGTGATTACAACTGTATTAGATCTAATCTTGCTTTGTTAGACTGGAATGGCATATTTAATGGTCTAGATATCAATGATGCAGTAAATACGTTCTATGAAAACGTTTATAAAATAATTATTACGTATTGCCAAATTAAAACTTTATATTTACCAAAACACCCTAATTGGTTCAGCCATTCGTTAAAGAAGTTAATTTTTGATAAAAAAATTGCTCATAAAATGTATAAACAATCACCTACTTCACATAATTAATAACATAACATTTTTTCTAATCTGCGTGCGCGCTGTAAAGCTAAAAATAAATTAGATTACAATATGCATATCCGGAAAACACAAAACTCCATTACTAGTAATCCTAAATTTTTTTGGCAATATGTAAAAAGCAAACGATCTACTCAATCTCTTCCGAATTCTATGTTTTACAATAGTAACACTATTTCCGGAGGTGATGATATTACAAACAGTTTCGCACATTATTTTTCCCATGTTTTGAATATACCATCTCACTCGCAATCTATTTCGGATTCTTACAATAATAGTTTTCAATCTGTTGATTTTAATTCATGTACGCTGACTATCAGCGATGTAGTATCGAAGTAATCTGTGCAATACTGTTCATCTGGTAGTATCCTATCGCGCCATGTCTAATACCTTGAAACCTACCACTCGATCTGCCACTAAATTACCGGCCGTTACTTCACCTAAAGTTACACCTTCATCTGCTAGCAGCTCTTCAACCAACAATGACATCATGACCGCATTATCATCTCTCCATAATGAATTTTCTGAGTCCTTTAAAAATCAGTCCATAAAGCAAGATAACCAATTTAAAGAGCTCAAGACTGACATTGTAAAAATGTCCTCTCTTCTTGCTGAACTCAAGGCTGAAAATAACATTCTTAAATAAGAGGTTCAATTTCTCAAAGATAAAGTTTTGAAGCTTGAATCCCTGGATTCTCCTGCCTCTTCTTCTTCTGTTGTTGCCCAAGTTTTCCAGGAAACTTTTGAAAGGGAAAGATGTTCAACCAACCTATTGGTATACAGTATTCCTGAGTCTTCCGCTGAATCTACCTCTCAGCGTAACACCGACGACAAATCTGCATTTGAGAAAATTGTAGTGCCTCTTATAGGAAACCTTCCTGCTCGCTACAAATTGATTCGTTTGGGTAAAGCTCAGCCTAACAACACTCACCCCCAGAAAATTATTCTCGAGTCCAAAGAATGTGCCGCTAATATATTATACAGCTATTATGATGTTAAGAAAAGTGGTATTAATCTTCCACCTAACTTTCGCATTGCTAAAGATAAGACTCTCCTTCAACGGACCCTACTGCGTAACTGCCACTCTGAAATTGATCGTAGAACTCAAGCCAGCGAAGTCGGACTACGTATTGCTCATTTAAATGGTCTACCAAAGGTTGTGTCTCACCACCATAAGGAAGGAAATTTCAATCAAAGGCCAACTATCAACAACCCCTAAATCATTAGCCAGTTGCCAACTCAATTTCTGGTTTTTACCAAAACTGCCGTGGTCTCCGGACAAAAATTAATAATTTTAAATGTAATATAGCCTGTATAAATTATGATTTTTTTGTTTTAACTGAAACTTGGTTAACAGATTCTTTAACTGATTGTGAACTTGGTCTTTCCAATTATAATATCTACAGATATGATAGATGTTCTATTACTAGTAATTATATAAGGGGAGGCGGAGTACTCATTGGTATATGAAAAGATATATCTTCTAAATTACTTGTCGTTCGTGAAATCAATGTTGAACACTTATTTGTGATGCTCACTGTTGGGTCTTCCAAGTTTATAATTAATGCTGCCATTTTCCCCCTCTTTGTCCATCTCATTTATTTGAAAATGTTATGTCCGTCTTAGAAACGGTTTATCAACACCATCCTGAACACATATTCTTGCTCTGTGATGATTACAATTTGCCTGAGGTTTCTTGGTCTAATGATTCACATGGCCTTAATTATACTTCATCATCCGCTCTTCGTGTGCCTTGTGTTCCAGAACTACTTGCTTTCAATGGATTCTACCAAAAAAATTATATTTTAAACTTTAAGGGTTCCATACTCGATCTAATTTGTTGTAACATAGACTCCGTTGTTGACACCCATTCTCTTGAACCGTTTGTTCCACCTGACCCATATCATCCTCCTCTAAAAATTTCATTTCCGTATATCTCCACTCCTAATATATGTTATTCATCTCATTCCTTTCTGAGTTTTAAAAACGCCGATTACGATTCTATAATTTATTTTTTGTCTTCCTTTGATTGGTACTCTACTCTATCCAACCTAGACTTAAATACTGCGATTTATACCTTTACTGATGCTCTTCATAATTCAATCTTGAGATCTGTCCCTATATCACGCTTCTATAAATCAAGTTTTCCCACATGGGTATCTAAAGACCTCAAATCATTAATTTATCGTAAGAACAAAGCTCATGCAAAGTTTAAATCTTCCTTCGACCCTGCTGATTACACTGCTTTTCCCCTCCTTCGTGCTAAATGTAAATATACTTCCAAAAAATGTCATAAAGAATTCGTCGAAAAGTCTGAAAAATCTCTATCCTCTAATCCCAAAAAATTTTGGGATTTTGTACGCAAGAATCGTTCCCACAATGCTGTTCCGAACACTGTTTCTTTAAATGGTGTCAATAGTTTTTCTAAGCTGGAAAGTGTTAATCTGTTTGCTAAACATTTTTTTCGGTTTATTCTCCAGAACCCGTTACTTCAAATCTTTAGATATAGATATCCTAACCCAGATATATATACAGTTCTTTGACTTACCTAACAACTGTTACTTCTCTGCAAACGATGTCCTCCTCAAACTTAATACTTTAGAAAATGTGTCTTCTATTGGACCCGATGGAATACCTGGCGATTTCCTCTACAAAACAAGGTTCATTATTTTCTATCCTCTTTGGATCCTATTTCGAAGATCCCTCGATGATAGTACTTTTCCGGACATGTGGAAAATTGGTTCCATTACTCCTATTTTAAAATCAGGTTGCCGTACGTCAGTCACTAATTACAGACCAATTTCCATTTTAGGGCATATTTCTAAGCTCTTTGAGTCATTAGTCTTAGACGCAATTCAGCCTTCTGTAAATTTGATCTTAGCCAACGAACAGCATGGTTTCCGTCCTGGCAGATCAACGGTTACTTGTAACCTTGTTTTCTGCAATTACATATTCGGATCTTTTAAAAATGGAACACAGGTTGATGTCATATATACCGACTTTGCTAAGGCGTTTGACTCTGTTAACCATGAGATTCTAATCTCTGTTCTTCGTGCTACTGGATTTGGGGATCCTATCCTATCTTGGTTTAATTCATTTTTAGTAAATAGATCCCAATGGGTTAATTTGTTCAACACTAAATCTGACTCATTTTTATCTCCCTCAGGCGTTCCCCAGGGGGACATCTATCACCTCTTCTATTCTCTTTGTTTGTTAACAGTGCTAGCTCCTCTCTCAAACATAGCAAACTTCTTTGTTTTGCCGACGATATGAAGATTTTCCTCGAAATTAACTCTGTCGATGATTGTCTCAAACTCCAGGATGATTTAAATAGTTTCTCCGCATGGGCTGATTCTCTCGGTCTCACATTAAATATTGAAAAGTGCCGGTCCATGACATTCACAAGAAGTCGCTCTCCTATTACTCATCTTTACTCATTGAATGGCTCTAATTTGATTCCAGTTGACTCTAGCATCTGTGATCTTGGTTTTACTTTTACTCCCTCTCTTTGTCCTAGAGCTCACATAGACAGAGTTACATGCAAAGCCCTTAAGGTATTGGGTTTCGTCAAAAGAATATCTAGTGACTTTAAGCTTTCCGCTTCCCTCAAAGCTATATATTGTGCACTTGTACGTCCAATCGTTGAATACGGCTCAGTTGTATGGGATCCCCAATCAACTGATGCTTGTATTCAACTAGAAAGGGTTCAGAAAAAATTAATATGTTACATGAAACATTCTCTTAACGTAAACTGCACCGCTCACGATTACACTCCTCTTCACTGTTTGCTTAACTTATCCTCCCTAGCTGACCGTCGTCATTTCAATAATCTCACATTCCTTAACAAACTCTTAACAGGCTTGGTCGATTCCCCATCTCTTCTTTCTCTCATTAACATTAGAGTTCCTGTTAGGTCCACCCGCAATAATCATCCTTTCTTTATACCTTTCTGCACTAGAAACTATCTAAAAAATGAACCTATTACGAGATTAATGAAATTAGCCAATGAGGATCCGTTGTTCCTTAAATAGTTTTATTTTTGTATTCATTGTTTAGTTTAATTTATATTTTATACTTTGTTATATTATTCATGTTACGTTATTGTATGATTGTATTGTTCACCTAATAATTTTAACCTGGGCACACGCCCGTTTATTCATGAAATAAAAATAAAAATAAAATAAAATAAAAAAATTTGAACGAACAGTGTTGCACGATATAAAGGAAAAAAGGGATATTCCCGGTACGTGGCAGCACGTTTAAAATCTAGAAATGTCAGACGTAGTTTTATCATCTCCCATAAGAGCCCATGTTAAATGAAATAAGATTCCGTTCTGTTTATTCTGTGCTATTATTAGCTATTGGTAATTAAATTATTCTATTAGTACCTTCTTATTAAGTTTTAAAATAATATCTAATACGGTATCTCCCGGATAGGCCGGATACGGAATAAAATTAATTCTAGGATTGAATAAATAATTGAATACTATTAAGTATTATTACATAATTGGAAATTAATTATTTCGTTTAATGGAATACAATATATACCGTTTTGTGTTATGTTATGTTATGTTTAATGATATATCATATATTTTGTTAAACGTTACGTTTTGTTTTGTGTTTATTTATTTATGTTTATCGTTTTCCGTTATAAATACGTTTACAAATTTCAATCGTTTTTTTTACCAAATATAACGTTATTATAACTTTTGCAAGCCCTGGTCAAGTCCGCTTAACTAGTCTATGTGACACAATCCCATCATTCAATTACCCTTTACTCAAAACCTATGTTTTTTTATTTCTAAAATCAATTTATCATTTTAACCCAATTTCCAACCAAAAATATTATTATTTGGACATGTATTCCTATTTCCCTTTTTTGAATAAACTACAGTTATAATATTCTGGATACAAAGTCTATTGGACAATCTATGATTCAAATGAAAAGATTATTGCATGAATAAACATGTTATATAAGTATACAACGTCATGTAACTGTATGTTACAGATCCGATAGAACACACTTGGTATAAAGAAATCGAAAACCGTACAAGGTTTGCGATGGATTTTGGAAAGAGGAAAGGCATGTTACATCAGGGAGATTTGGTTTTGCACATGAGCTGCTCTAAACAAAACGCGGGTTTTGCTAACACCATGAGTCTATTCTACGTCAGTGCTGATGACTTCGATAACGCTTAACACTTAAATTTAACTTGACAACAATAAAGCATTTAAACAAATTTTTACCCCATATCATATGAGTTTCAAAATTATTCATCAAGTAACGATGTCAGTTCTAATATTTTATCAAAGCAGGGGTGAAACTATAGGATTTTGAGGGAGGGGGTATCTCGCTCCACTAAACATACCCTATTCGAACATTGGGAACCTTTTAATATTATAGTCGGCCAAATCGATGAAAAGAAATCGAATGAAAAACATTAATTTTATCACTCAATTGTTAAGGTTTTTTTTACATGCCTATGAACAATGTACATAATAATGCAGCCACAGATCAACGAAAAAAACATTAGATAGAAGCATCATGATAATAATATTATGTTATATTCCGTTATCGTCTAATAGTAACACCATTGTTTGCGTCTATGCTTACAACTATTTTGAATAGTTATTTTTACTCAATTTTATATACGTATTATTGTTTTTGTGTACCGTATAGGGCCTTTAGACAAAGGTTTTTTCGTGCGCAATTGCAGTGTGACACTACAATAATGTGCAAAAGAATAAACATGCTTGTCTCGACATTCTTTGACACCACGCCCCCGACCAACGTGCTGAGCCAGCCTTCCGGAAATTGAATAAATTAGGTGAGATCTAGGTGACTAGAACAACTGGTGGAACAACTTTTTCAAATCCTCATACGTGGTTGGGAGTACTTGGGAAGTTGGGACAGGCATAAGGGAGTCAAACCATACTCAAGAACTTCTGGTTAATCATCGTTGAAATAATTCAACACGGTGGTCATAGTATGGACAATTTTATAGAAAGTATTGGTCGAGTTGACTCAAGAATTTCTCTGGGTGGATGTCCAGTTGGTTACAAATGAATTCGGATACAACGTCCATGAAAAGTTCCGATTGACTTTTGGATGCAGAAAAATACGATTTGCCAGACGGAGTAGCTTATGGACGCGTATCATTGATGTTAGCTTCAGTCGAATTTCGATGTCGTACGAAAAACGGAAGCTCCGAGATACAGAAGTAGTGGGTTTGTATTTATGGTTGACTGTATTAGTTTCACTTTGTCTTTAAGATTCTCCACTTTGGTGGGGGGAATCGCGACATTATCGTTGGTTTTTGAGTGCGCGAATTGGTGATGGGTTAAATGGTAGAGAGTGGACACATTTTTCTCAGCTTTAGCCATTCGTGACTCAACAGCGTCTAGTTGCTAGAAAAAATCACTAATTTTGTCAGCAAGACGGTCAATTTGACAGTGACGACCCTTGCCTTATCACTAAGACCGAATTTTTTTGAATTTATAGGCATTTTAAATTTTATTAAATAATTATATTATAATATATTTTATTACATTCATTTAATTTTTGACACATAATGTCTTCAACTTCAAGCGAACAGCTGGAAACTGTACAATTTAAATTTGGTTCTCTACAAGGTAAGGATTTAAAAAATTCATATGGAAAACCAGTTTTGTTGTAAAGGATTTGTAAAAGTACAAAACAAAAGTATACTTTACAAGACAGTATAAACTGTATAAGATATCTTTATTTCATTTAAATTTACTGTAGAGTTTAATTATTGGAAAGAGAAGGAAGAATTGGCCACTTCGAAACTCTATGGCCAACATAGAGGGTCAAAAGCTAATAATAACAACAAAGCATTACTGCCAACCATCTGGAGTATTTAAATCTAAAGGAAAAAGAGAACGTGCAGTAAAGATAACTGGATCCTGTAAAATTAGTAAAAAAACTAATGTTACAAGTTTATAAACACATTGTTTTATAGTTTTTTTTTTTTTTTAATTTAGATCAATGCTGACCTTCTTTTATAAGAACTGTTGCTAGACTGATGAATATAGATGTGACATATTGTAAAACTTACCTTGGCTACCATAATGAAATTAGATTTCTTCCCATCCCGACTATTATTCAAGAAACAATTGCTGGTATACCTATATTTATATTTGAGATTTACTAGGTGGAGCTGAATATGGTCTAATATGTATGTATTAATAATAGTGTCAGTACCAATAATCATTGAATTGGTTTGGAAAAACTGTACTTAACTGTTTAAGTATATACGACTCAGTGTTTTTATTTATTAGTTCATAGTAACAACTTACGAGTAACGCATAAGGAATTTATACCGTTAAAAAATTAAGTATGTGAATTGGTTTGGTTAAATGTATTATTAATGTTTGTTATATTTAATTTTATATAATTGTTTATATATGAACTAGGATATTATTATAATAATTCAGTTAAAGTGAATCTTGTAAGTATTATATTCAATTACTTAAATATTACAATACTAAATTTTATTTTGAAACTATATCTATATATGTACTTATATTTATAGGTAAAATTGAAAGTGAAATCCCGTCAAATGTTATAATTGATCAGTTCCGCATTAAAACTGATTTTAATATTGAAAAAATATATATAATTTTCAAGGAAGGACATATGTAACATTTCTGCTAAATTTGGTTTACTCTACGAGTACAAGCCACATGATGTTGATGCAGTCAGTGTTGTAACCAGACAGAATAAACACATATGTGTTACCGCAGTCGCCATCTCGCCATAATTATGGTGAGTGCCACAAACCGCCACACAACAATCCTACACAGAGCGCGTGCCGGGGCAACATCGTTAAGTGCTTACCATAGAAGCTCTTTTTGACGTCAGTCGAGTTCGCCATATAAGACGGGGAGGTATTCAAAGGCTACTTAGGGAGAAACCACTATCTTATCGGTTTTTATTTGTTATTTTAAGTGGTTGACCCATATAATAAGAATTATGACACAACCCTGGCCGACAGACCCATCCAAAAAAGCACAACTAATACGTCAATTAAAAAATAAATATCAGCAATTATTAGGAACCAAACATTTAGAAACTGACATGAAAATACTAGATCCACCCCTCAAACCCAGTTCCAAGGAAGATCTCAATTAGTGGTCCCTATTACACGTGTATTTGATTACACGTGAAATACGTGTAATTAACATACACGTGTATATGCACGTGTAATTATAAATACACGAGTATTTAGTTAAAAATACGTATTTAAACACGTGTTTAAAAAAAATATAACTTATGTCTGAGGTCATGTCAGTTTTGGACTGAGTACTCACGGACGAAGAGCAGGCGTATTAATTGTCGCCATGTAAAATCCTCTCCTAAGAGATTTGTGATTTGTGTAATAGTATCGACGATCGGACAATTACTGTCGCACTATCAGTAGTTGTAGCGTGTGCCCAGAATAGAATAATTTCATACTTTGACCCATATACACCATATGCATCCTTCCTTGATCCTAGGTACAAAGATTTGGAGCATGAGGCGTTATCCACGCGTGAGGAAATTCGATCGAGAGTAAAAGAAATTTTAAGTATGAGCGACACGATAAATTTGAATGATAAGACATTGAATAATTTAGGAGACCAGCAAAAATGCCATAGTAATGCTTTAGAATATATTTATGGGACTGAATTTAATGATGATGATGATTTGACGAAACAGTTTGAAAATTATATAGCAGAACCACAATTAAGATTCACATTGGACCCCAAAGAATGGTGGAAAACTAGATTTTCTAAATATCCTGTAATTGGCGACCTTGCAAAAAAATATTTAACAATTCCTGCAACATCGGTAAGTTCAGAAAGATGTTTTTCAACGGCCGGTAACATCGTTACTCGTAAAAGAGCATCTTTATCACCTGAAAACGTAAATATGCTTGTTTTTTTACACCAGAATAAATATTTATTGAATAAAACATTATATGTATATATTTTTATTATAAAAACCGTGCATTCTATAATTCATATTTCCAAACTATATTAATATTTATAAATATTTTGTTAGTAGTAATTTTGCAGTAGCAGATGCTTGCATTTCTTGGTATGTTAGCAACTAATTTTATATGGCTTCTTCGAGTAACCGACAGAGTTATTGTTATAGAAGGGTCGAAAATAAAACCACTATTTTTGGTGACCACACACGTAGTTAGCATTAGTAACACAACAACTATTTTTTTCTAAAGAAAATGTTGATCAAAATAATTGTAAAATGTTACCACCACCACAAATGGTTATGCTCAACGGACGCTTGACAAAACAAGTGACGATGTCCGCTCAGTGTGTTCCAGTCTTTTGCAGGTTGACACACACATTTTACGATCGCTCCGTGTTGTACTCTGTATTTCTCCGTGTTGTACTCTGTATTTCTCCGTGTTAATTATATTTTAAATTTATTTAATTAGTATATTAATATACTTGATATATTTTTCAATAAATTTTCAAGCTTAATCATAAACAATAATATGGCTTATAATTGTGATAAGTGTTCAGCGTCTTTTAATCGTAAAGATGTTTTAGTACGCCATAAAAAATCTCATAGCACAAATAAAATTATCTGCAACATGTGTAAATCATCGTTTGTTCGGACAGACAATTTAATACGTCACATTAAAAAGTTTCATGGTATGTACATGATAATTCATAAAAATAAATTTAGAATTTTTTTTTTTTTTTCTAACAATTATTAATTTATTTTTACAAGGAGTTGATCATGTTCCTGCACGTCATAGAGGTACTGATGACGGAATTACTCCGCCAGCCATCGTTTCAAACGATCAACCCACTCATGTTCGCACCGATCAGATAGAGATCGCACCACAGATCTTCGTGCCTAACTTGGAAGCGGGACATTCCAAAAATGAATCTCTATCAAACGTGCAAGAAAACACAACAAATGAATTATGGTGTGATGATAGATATAATCAAATGCTTGCTATGATTGATGAAGCCGATATTTATGAGAATAATGGTAAGATTTTTTTTATTTAATAGGATGCTTACGCTTAAAAAAAAAAAAAAAAGTTGTAGGTAGTATAATAAAATAAAGCGCTATATCCTCAGTTCAATTTTAAGATAGTTTTTTTATTATTTAGATAAACGAAAATATACAGAAAATTCTAAATCACTTGTTAACAATAAACGTATGCGAATGGATAATACAACGTCTGCAAATTTTTTAAAAACTAAGTCTGCATTTAGGGGGTTATGCACAGAGTATTTTAAGAAAAATATAAATAACATTATAGATACAAGAGAGTTTTTAGAAATTTCAAAGCCTGGAATGTACACAATACTTACCGACGCAGTTCAAAAGTCTCCTATAAAATATAATATTAAATTAGAAGCAACGTATATTATACCTAATACAAACACTAGAGAAAATAGAGCTTTTAAAACTAGATCAAAGTCGCTATTTCAAGCAGATGATGAGAACCACCTGTTAGAATTGGATTTTCTTAAGTTGCTGCAAGAGCAAGATGAAATGGAGCATGTAGGCAGTAAGTTTTCATTGGAAAGTATAGATGGCATAATAATAAATGTAAACCTGTACAAACCTTTAGGAGGTTCATCGTACATTCCACTTCCAGATTTTATAGCAAGAAGAAAAGCGACTATAAATGTTCAAAATTTAGACGATAAATGTTTCAAATATAGCATACTATCAAAATTTGTCAATCCTGTTCATGCTGAAAGGATAGGAACTAATTATGCTGAAGTAGAGGGCAGCTATAATTTTAAAAATATAAATTTCCCTGCTTTATTAAACGACGTTGCTAAATTTGAAAAAACAAACAAAGTTTCTATAAATGTATATAGCCTAAAAAACGGAGAGTTAAAGTATAAAAATAATGTCAAAATAATGTCAAAAAAAAAAAGTTATATCAAAACCAAACCCGAACAGACTATAGTTTATCCAGTGAAAGTATGTGAGGAAGAACTCGATGATCACCACGATTTATTATTATTTGGAGATGGGACCGGAAAGCAGCACTACTGTCGTATTACTAATTTGGCGAAATTAATCGGAGCTCAGCTAACACAAAATGGACACGCTGTATTATTATGCAAGCGATGTTTTAAGACATACTTTGGTGTTAACCGTGGGGGGGTTACCGCTGAACAACGTCTTAAAACACACAAATTAAACTGCAATAAAAATAAACCGCTTATACCATTGTTACCTAACCAAAATACTTTTATGAAATTTGAAAATTGGGAACGTACTCGAAAACACCCATTTTCAATTTACGCAGACTTCGAAGCAATACTTGAAAAAAATAATAATACTAATTCTAATAATACACACATTATTCAACACCACGATGTTATGAGCTATTGTTATTATGTTAAGCCGAGCGACGATATACCCAAAGAGCTGCTAGAAAAATTTGATATAGAGACTGGTCCAATTGTATTCAGAGGAAATTCGAGTTTTGACAAAGGAGACGTTGCTAAACATTTTTTGCAAGAAATTGTTAAAGTTGCCCTTAAAATAGAAAAATTACTTAACGTCATAATACCAATTATAATGACTGATGAAAATAAAAAATGTCATGAAAATGTAGTCGCTCAAGGATCGTGTCAGTTATGTAAAACTAAATTTATTAAAACGCAAAACAATCCTGTTAAAGACCACGATCATTTGACAGGAAAGTACAGAGGGACTGTATGCAGTAAATGTAATTTATTAATGGAAAAACCTAATTTCGTTCCAATTTTTTTTCATAACCTTTCTGGTTATGATTCACATTTTATTATAACACAGCTACGTTTCGATACAACATCAATTAATGTAATACCGAATACTGAAGAAAAGTTAATATCATTTACAAAATACGTATCAAATACATTTCAAATTCGTTTTGTTGATACTTTTCGTTTTATGGCGAGTAGTTTGGAGAAACTCGTCAATAATTTAGCTAAAGGTGATACATTAAAATTTAGAGAGACTAGAAAAGTGTTTAATAATAATGATGTTGAACTGGTAACCAGAAAAGGTGTATATTGTTATGAATATACGGATAGTTGGGAGAAATTAAATGACACCGTACTGCCATCAAAAGAAAACTTTTACAACACATTACACGAATCTCATATTGACGATGAAGATTATCAACACGCAAAACGAGTATGGGATCACTTTAAATTAAATACTCTCGGCGAATACAGCGACTTGTATATGAAAGTTGATGTGATGCTCCTTTGTGATGTCTTTGAAAACTTCAGGGATTTATGTCTGGTCACGTACGGTTTAGATCCTAATACGGTTGGGCTATGAGTAAATTTATGCCAAAGGACGGATTTTCGTGGTATGAGGGAAATCTAGATGTCGAAAATATTTTAAAATTATTGGAAAAATCAAACGAAACATCAAAGATTGGATTTTCATTAGAAGTTGACATATTATATCCTCAATCTTTACACGACGAGCATAACGAGTTACCATACCTTCCAGAAAGGATGGTACCCCCGGGATTGAAAGTAAAAAAACTAGTCGCCAATTTACAACATAAAAAAAATTATGTTGTTCATTATATGGCATTAAAACAAGCTCTGAAAGCGGGATTAATATTAAAAAAGGTAATAGTTTTTAGTTATTTATTATTAGAGTTGAGTTGAGTTAATTTTTTTTTTTTTTTTTATGGGTTAGGTGCATCGAGTTCTACAATTCAATCAATCGCCATGGTTAGCAAAATATATTGAGTTGAATACTAACATGAGAAAAAAAGCATCAAACGATTTTGAGAGAGAGTTTTTCAAGTTAATGAATAATGCAGTATTTGGTATGTTTTTTTAATTTTTTTAAAATTTTTTTTAGGTAAGACCATGGAAAATGTAAGAAACAGACTAAAAATGAAACTTGTTTCTGATGAAAAATTATGTTCAAAGTTAATCAATCGAAATACGTTTAAGGATATTACAATTTATAACGAGAACCTAGCTGTTATACATTTAGATATTGATGAATTAAAATTTGATAAACCAATATACGTTGGGTTTTCTATTTTGGATATTTCTAAAACATTAATTTTCGACTTCCACTACAACTCTATGATTAAGAGTTATGGTTCAAATATTCAACTGATGTATACAGATACAGGTACATATTATATATATATTACATTAATGTTTATTTACAACATATATTTTTTGTTTAGATTCATTGATATACTTCATAAAGACATCCGATTTCTACGCGGATTTGTTAAATAAACCCGAACTATTACTACGTATGGATACTTCGAACTTGCCGGTCAATCATAAATGCTATTGTATTGACAGGAAAAAATTACCGGGTACATTTACTGATGAAACGGATGGAAAAGCGATTACAGAGTTTGTTGCCCTACGAGATAAATCATATGCATATAATCTATCGGGTGTAGAAAAAATCAAGGCGAAAGGTGTTAGAGGACATGTCGTTAAAAATCATTTGAGCTTAGCAGATCATAAACAATGTTTATTTTGGGACGGACCAATGGTTGACAGTGACACTAGTAGAAGTGTAGCTTTAAATCAATTCGAGTTGTTTAAATCCATAGGTCACACATCTTCAACAAAACAGTATACACCGTTTCGTGTAAATGTATCACTAAGATCATTTAAACATCAAATGAAATCAATTTCAACAGTTAAATTAGCTTTAAACCGATCTGATGATAAGAGGCTAGTACTTGAAAACCAAATTCATACCTTGGCTCATGGACACTATCGCATTGAGTAAGATAAAAACATTAAAGATATATTTTATTTTACTTATATAATTTTTGAATTTTATAGGGAACTTGAGAGGGTGGAAGCAGAGATGGCAGCAATGTTGGAGGGAATAGGATATTAAGTTTTATTTAAAAATCATGTATAATTTTTCTGTAAATATTATGTTTATGTATATTATTGGTTTTTATATTTTAGTTATTATTTTTGTCTGTATGTTTATTAAATTATTATATAACTAAATAACCTATGAATAACCTAAAAAATACTTTATATCTGTAAATACTTTGTAAATATCATGTAAATATTATGTTTATTTACTTTTTTTATTTTATGTTTAGACTTAATAATATATTTAATCATGTTTTTTCTGTTTCAGATCAAGGGAAGACAATATTAGTATATATATATAATTAAAAAACCTTGTATTACTTTGTAAATATCATGTAAATATTATGTTTATTTACTTTTTTTTTTTAGAATATTATTAAGACTTAATAATATATTTAATCATGTTTTTTCTGTTTCAGATCAATGGATGGCAATATTAATATAAATATAAAATTAATAATCTTGTAAATGTCATCATATATATAAATGTATATATATATGATAACATATAAAAAAAAAACAATGTTAAAATATGATAATATTATGTTTATTAAATAAAATGTATACATTCACAATTTTTAAGAATTATTTACAAACCATTTTCTAATAGCAAATACTTTATAAAATGTACATTGTTTTGGATTAAAATCCATATGAAAAATACAGCAGGGGTGAGTTTCTCCATCACATATTTCGTCCAAACGTGGACATCCAAGATCTTCGATGTTGATTAGTGCGACTTGAGGTATAAATTCTGTAAGCAGCTATTTTTTCTGTTCACCTTTGACGTAAATGCAGGAGAACTTTAAAGAATTCAATATTCTACTTAGTTCTTCATACTCAATATCACCATATTCTATAGATAGTTTATGATAGTTAAGTTCTAGCCACTTATTAGTTTTACGAGATTTATTGTCCTGCTGAGATTTTGAATTTTTAAAAATCCAGTGTTGGCTCGAAAATGATTCTATATCAACAATAGATAATTCTTTAATAAAATATTTATTGTTTGCTCCAAGTACGCATTGCATGTCTGCGATAGCCGACGACATAATTTCAGATTTATTAAATGTATATAAAAATTACTACTAATGTAAATTAAACAATATTTTATAAGACAGAAATACTTTTAACACTTTTAACACTAGCACAGGACTACCAAACACGATGATGTATACAGCTCGACTGAAATTATTTTTCAATATCGCATACCAAAATGTGAAATTAAGTTTTCTTAATATTTTTTCCTTCCACGATCAGCAAACGTGAATGTAAATCTGAAATATATGTTCCATGATTCGGTAATGAATTTTCATCAAATATACCGGTTATACGATTTATTTCAGCTTTTAATTGGCCAACGTCGAGTCCCTGGATAGCGATTGCTGTAGTAGTTTCAGCACAGTCATTAAATAGCTCGGACATACGATTTTCACAATTTAATGCAGACTTATTACTTGATTGTATATTATTTTCAAGCAATAGTATCTTATCACTTAGATTAACAATATTATTTTTCAAAGTATCGATTTCTTTCTGTTGAAGTTTCATAACGTTTACAATTGTTTTGTTACTTAATTGAATATCTGATATAATTCTCTTAATATCACTCGCCTGAGAACTTCCAAACACGTTCATAGTTATAAAACGACTGACACTATTTTTTAACATCACGTGTATTTATCCAACTATTATGCGTATTATCAAATCCTAACCACTTGACGTACATTTGATTCTGTTTTTTACGTATAATTTTTTCAATTAAATATTCGTTTGGGAAATTGGTCTTGTATATTTCTTCAGAGTAAAAACAACCAGCAATCGGTTTACCCATATAATCTTGAAGTTGATAAGTAGTGGGTAATGTATTATTTATTTTAATAATTTCAAATATTTCTGTAGACCAGCTAGGTAAATAACCTTTTGTGAACACACCTTTTTGTGTACTGATACGAACGTTATCACCAATTTTAAATTTATTTTTTTTTTGATTATTCATCTTATGAAGTTGTAACTCGACTGATAAAGGATTTAAATCTGCTTGCACCGGTGTCATTCCTATAGTTCTATGTTTTGAATTGTTATATTCGTCAAGCAGTAACTGTAAAATTGAAATCCATTTGTGTGAGCCGCGCGCCGTAAACTCTCTAAACATTTTTTCTTTCAATGTACGATTAAATCGTTCGACAATACATGCTTTCATAACGCTAAACGTAGAATATTTATGAATATTATATTTAGTCATCAACGCGTCAAAAGTCGTGTTGTAAAATTCTTTTCCGTTATCGAGTTGCAAAAGTTTTGGTGCTCGGTCAATTAATATTTTAGACATTGCATTAGTGACTTCTTTACCGGTTTTTGATTTTAGTGGTATAGCCCACGCAAATTTTGTAAAACAGTCTATCACACATAAAATATATTTATAATTTTTATTTTTTCTTGAATACGGTATCATTTCAACCAAGTCAGCTTGCCATAAATCATTTTTTCCATATACGTTAACTCTACGTCTAACGAAATTTTTTCTAGCCGGCTTGTGTAGTTCATCGGCGATTTCGCGCTTAGACATTTGGTATTCGTTTAATTAACCCAGCTTCAAGTAATTCTTCGAAAATCGATATTATTTCGTTTGAAACACCTGTATTGCCAGCTGCTTTTGACGCGAGAAGTAGACGTAATCGATCGACCAACTCGTTTGGATTGTCCCAATACACTAAGTTATTTTTCTGTAATTTCATAGACAGCTCGCCACCCGAGGGGAATAATTTACTAATAATTGATGAATATTTAGTACCACCCTTTTTTATTTTATTTCCAACTGTAGATAAATGTACCGATGATTGAGTTAATATCGATTTATACTCATCTAAATCGTTTTCGATATAAACGAGTGGATTTTTCAAAAATAATAACTGTATAAGACCCGAGGTTAAGGTATAAACATTACTGTCAATAAGTAAAGTGTTTTCTACGAATTTTACTTCTTTTTTACCCAAGATAATATTTCCGTTTGAACGTTTTTTTGGGCCATAGATTTTGTCTAAATCTGTAGATTGAAACCAATTTTCAATTTCTTGTTGATTGTAGTCCAAAATCGGGTTTTTCGATTTATTATTAATATTTTCCTTGTTCAAATGAGGTTTATTTGATATTTTAGTTAAAGGATCGATAATTGGTTTTAATGTCTGTGTCATTATTTGTTGAACATTATCAGAACAGGTTTTTAGTGCGATATATTTACGTTTAATACTTTCCTTAGCTTTAACTAGCACATCTAACACAGTAGTTGCTTCCGTCATGACTACGTTTTAAATGATATTATTATTTAGTTGTTTCATCTTATATAACTACAAATGTATCAAACCCAAAACGATAACGTCCGTTATCACGCTCACTATCTTTACAAATAACAACAAATGTAAACCTCTCACGGTTCCAACAAGTTACACAAAAATGTTTAAATTGAATATATGACATGTCCCCAGAACAGTGCTCGTTGTATACATGTTTTAAATTGGTTTCATCTTGTTTGAACAATACTATTAAATTTGCATTATCACGTATCAACAGTTTAGGGACTTTTGAATAACTCTGGGCCAGATAAAATATATCTATTTTATTGTGGCGACCTCGAGAAAAATAATCTCTTATTACGTTTTGGTGTTCACCGATAACATCGTCCAAGAAAAAAATTGAATTTGGTAAAACTTTATCGGGTGAAATAACTTTATCATTCTCGAAAAAGGTAAAAATGTTAAAACCATCAATTCCGTCAATAATACGTTTAAATAAATTATATTTTGGTTGTTCTAAAGTCTTAGAGTATATGTAAACGTTTTCAAATCGTAACCCATTTTCATCGACTAGTAGAAAATACATCAGATTGGTTTTACCACACCCCGAGCTGCCAAGTACCAATGACCTTATCGTATTTGGAAAAAGCTCACCATGTCTCTGTTGAATTGTCTCGTGAGAATCAATATTATAAATTCGGAGTTTTTTCTCTTGTTCGATAAAGCGCATTTTTTAAACTATAAATACAGATGTTCTGTTAGCGAGAACGTCACACGATGTCTCGCGTTCGTAAGCGGAACAACAATAAGGGTTCTGGTCTTATCAAATCTGTTATAAATCATTTACCCATGGAGTTACATTTACCCGGTTATAGGTAAGTCAATACAAAATATTATTACTATTAAATCTACTAATAAATTTTTTATATGTTTATAGATTTGCCGGTCCTGGGACCAAATTAAAAGAACGATTAGCACGTGGAGAACGTGGTATAAACAGACTTGACGAGTTGGCCAGAGCTCACGATATTGCATACGACGAAAGTAATTCACTAACCGATAGACATAGAGCAGACGAAGTGTTAGAAAATCAGGCTTGGGAAGTGTTTAAGTCTAAAAACACAGGTATCAAGGAAAAAGCTGCGTCTTGGTTGGTCACTACAGCTATGAAGGTTAAGCGTAAGCTGGGGGCTGGTTGTAGTTTTAAAAAAATGGTTTTGGCAGCTAAAAAAGCAATAAAGAATAAAGCTAATGAAAAGAATATAACTAAATTAGTTAGAACTTGTCTGTCAGCTGCGAAAAAATCGAAAAAATCGAAAAATACTAAAACTCCAAGAATTATCCCCATACCGAAAAAGGGTGGTGTTCTACCTTTAATTCCTATTTTTGCTGGTTTATCGGCATTAGGCGCGCTAACCGGTGGAGTAGGTAATATAGTAAAAGTCGTGAAAGAATTAAATTCTGGAAAAAGCACTCCTATTCATTTAGGCAAAGGATTATATCTTACTCCTCACAAGGGCAAATCTTATAAAATCGTAAAAGGTAAAGGTTTATACCTAGCACCACATAAGGGTGGTTCAGTTAAGAAATCCAGGTCAAAAAACTAATTACTACGTTACCCGATAAAGCGTTATACGATTATGAGATTATAAAATACGCTGACTTGTTGAAAATTCCTCATTTCATTGGTGTATTTGCGAGAGACAAGTTGCCTCGACGAGCAAAACATCAAGAGTCAGCTGTTGTTAATTTAGACATCGAAAACGGAACAGGTACTCATTGGGTAGCGTATAAGAAAATCGGAAAACAAGTTAAATATTATGATAGTTATGGAAATTTAACGCCACCGCTAGAATTACAGAAATATTTTCACGGTTGCAATATCGAATATAACTACGAGAGACATCAGAAATATAATACAACAAACTGTGGTCATCTGTGCTTAAAATTTTTATCATGTACACTATAACGTTAACCGGTAACTCTAGCGAATTGTCATGTGACTTTTTTCCACCGATAGAAGTCAGTAAAAATGCTAAAATCTGTATATAAGGTTTTCAAACGAATAATTCTATTCCTAATGTAAACGAAAAGTGTAATAAAATATGCTTCACATACATTAATGATAATAATATGAATAGCGATAGCTATGTAATACCTACAGGCTCTTATGAGTTGAATGAAATTGAAGCGGCTATAAAACGTGTATTACATAATACTGATACTTTATTCGAGTTGAGAGCAGATAATAATACACTAAAATGTACAATGTTTTGTAGTGAAACTGTAGATTTTAGCTCGAATAATAGTATAGGACAGTTGTTGGGGTTCAAAAATCGTAAATATGCAGCTAATGTCAATCACGAATCAGATACGTTGGTCAATATTACCAAGACAAACTGTATATATATCGATTCAAATCTAGTTATGGGTTCATTCGTCAACGGTAAGCAGTGCCATACAATCCACGAGTTTTATCCGAATGTACCTCCGGGCTATAAAATAATAGAAGTACCAAGACATTTGATTTTTTACCCGCTTAATTCTACATCTATAACACACGCAAGTATAATTTTAAAAAATCAGGACGACGAGTTGATCGATCTACGAGGCGAACCAGTATCAATACGATTATTAATTCAAGACTCGTGATGGGGCTTCAGTTTTACAATATAAATAGGCCTATATATGAAAAACCCGTTAGTCGTGTTAAAAACACTAACAAGGTAACAACTCCGAAGAAGAAAAAATATTCGAAACGAAAACAGACTAGACATAGTCTAACACCCGACAATTTGGCTTTTCTTCGATCGATAAACGTAATTTAATATGGACGACACATATTTAAATGTCACGGCTGGATACATCGACGATTGTAAAATAACTCAAATTGACTATCATTCTTTTTTACCGTATTCAACATCAGCTCTTTATAATAATGATGAGGTGCGTATTGCTTTACACAACACAGAGTCTTATACACTACCGTGCGAGAGTTATATTTACATCGAGGGGACAATAAACAAACCTGCAGAAATAACTGACGAGATTAGATTTATAAACAACGGACTGTCGTTTCTTTTCTCCGAAATGAAATATGAAATAAACGGAAATCAAACCAGAAACTTGTCAATCCGGGTATAACCACAACATTAAAAGGATATTGTTCGTACAATAAAACAAATATTTCTTCACACCAAAACGCTGCCTGGGATAGTGATTTTAAAAATGTCAATAAAGATTTCATTGATGGAGGTAATTTTAACGGATGTATAAATCTTAAACATTTGTTTGGTTTTTGTGAAGATTATAAACGTATTTTAATAAACTGTAACCAGCAACTCATATTGAATAGAGCATCAATCGATTTAAATGCTATTAAGCAATATAAAAATAATGAGTTAGTTGACGGTGCTAAACTAAAAGACGTTAAAATAAACATAACAAAAATATTGTGGCGGATGCCTATCGTGAAAGTGAGTGATAGAGAAAAAATACGACTGTTGAAAGTAGTCAACAATCAGAAACCCCTAACATGTGCGTTTCGTTCATGGGAACTTTGTGAACATCCATTTTTACCTCAAAACACTTCACATTCATGGAAAGTAAAGACTTCCAAAAAATTAGAAAAACCTAGATATGTCATAATCGGTTTTCAAACTGACAGGAAAAATAACTCAAGTAAATCAATGTCATATTTTGATCATTGTAAAATTAAAAACTTGAAAGTCTATTTAAACTCCGAAGTATTACCATATGAAGATTTTCAAAGTGACTTTAACAAGAATAAGATGGCTACGTTATACCGTGCGTATGCAGAGTTACAAAAATCTTACTATGGTCACGACGATGTAACACCTCTATTGAACCGATCAGAATTCAAAAATCTATCTCCAATTATAGTTGTCGATATGAGCCGACAGAACGACAACGTGAAAATGGCGACAGTAGACCTCAGAATTGAACTAGAAGCTGACGAAGCGTTTCCGGTTTCCACTTCCGCATACTGTTTAATATTACATGACCAAATTATAACTTATAATCCGTTTAACGGAGAAGTAAGAACCTTGTAAATTTTTATTGTAAAAGTTAATAAATAAAAATACTTATTTTATAATATTACTTGTCCAAATTATAACTTGTAATCCATTAAACGGAAAAGTAAAAACCTTGTAAATATTTATTGTAAACCTTAATATTAATAAATAACAAAAACTTTTATATATATCATGTATTTTTTTTATTTCACCTAAACTAATATTTTCCTACAAAATTTAATCCCATAATTGTATACAAAACACAAGGAACTGAGTATTTCCCATTAAAAAAGATAATTTCATGATATTTATATTAACTGAAACACAAAAAGCTGTTGATGGGAAGTTCAGTAGTGAAAAATTATGTGTAGACTCTACGAACCAATATAATTTTAATTTAACAACAATTATTGTGATTGACGTATTCGGGGAAGGATATCCTGCTGCTTTTTGTATTAGTTCAAAGATTGATGAAGTGCACATTACCGTTTTTTTCAAAAATCAAAGAAGTTACTGGTTCTCTTACACCTAATGTATTAATGAGTGATGACGCTCCTGCATTCTGGAATGCATGGATAAAAATTATGTCTCCTATTCCTAAATTTCATCTCTTATGTAAATGGCATATTGACAACAATTGGCGTAAAAATTTAAAAAAAATTGATGGATCACTGACCACAAAAGCTTAAGTTTATAAAACCCTCCGAGTCTTACAAGACGAATCTGATATTTCTGAGTTTGAGTATGTATTAAGTTCTTTTCTGTGCACGTTAGAAGAAGAGTCTGCAATGCACAACTTCAAGGCATACTTTGTAAGCACTTATGTTCACCGGATAAAAATGTGGGTTCCATAAAACTTTGAAGCATGTCTATTTTAAAAGGAAAAAAATCAAAGGCTCGATGCGCTATTGTGGCATTTACTAAAAGTACTGAGAGATAAAAATGTTGAATGTATTGTTAAGTTATGTA